TGTACCTTTATACGTATGTATTACTTTTTACAAATACATTGTATAATATTTTATTTGTTCTTGCAAAGAATACGAATGCATTTTTAACATTTCGAGGCTAATTACGTTTATCTATATTTAACTCACTTATTAGTACACACTGTACGCTCTTGATACGTACCATCTATAGGTATAATATTTAATGTTTATAATTATATTTTCACTATATCGAAAACTGTATTTTTTAAACATATTCACGTTAACAGATATCTTTGCCGTAGGTATAGCGTTAATATTCAGATTTGTAATTTTTTATTGCAAATTTCAAATATGTATGTCATTATGAAATTGTGAAAGCTTCTTGAATGACAATCTAACTTCACATGTGTATGTATGTATGTATGTATAATCAGGCTAAAAGGTTACAACACATTTTTTTTCAATGAGTTTTGGAATATTGCCTGCTCACCGAGCGATTAGTTTTTACTTATGGATTCATAAGTAATAACCAAGTAGTACCTCAGTAAGCAGGTTGCATTCCAAAATCCATTTAAAAAAAGTATTGCAAGCTTTTAGACCCTGACTGTACATATAAGTCCGATACTTGCAAAATAAAGAAATGATCTTTTTCGCGTAAGAGGCCTGAAATCTTTAAATATACCAATTTTAGTCGAACTCGTTACAATTAAAAGCTTGTATCAATATTATGTGATAAAATTACCATTAGATTTCTTATGATTTCAATTTCTGAGATATTATAATAAAAAAACTTTGACATAAGTCACAAGTTCTGAATGAACTTAGTAGCGCCAGAACATTTACACAGTAATGTTCACGTAACACGGCCCGATCGATCTTTTGTTTATATACATACTTGTCGTCGCGCTGCTCTACCGTGTCGCTTGATTATAACTTGACAGTACGTAATCAAATCTTTGCTTACTTGCAATTATTTCATATTCATTTTTGAACTATTAATTTTATGTTTTTTTAACAGTTTAATTGATTGTTTCTATTTGTTGCATGTAACTTTGAATATTTTTTGTATGTTGATATAAATAGGTTTATATCATTTTGTAGAATTTTCATCGTTTGAACTTCTATTTTTAGTCGACAAATTAAATGTTTATATTAGATGTTAGTTATAAACTCCCCTGTATTAAAATTTTTGTAATCTTTTTATATTAGGAAATTTATAAAGGAAAGATCACAAAATTTTTCGTATCATTAAATTTATGTCTAACTAAAAATAATTATGTTATACCATGTGATAAAACTTAAATACATTTTGGAATAAAACTTATACTGAAATTTTTGGAATATTAAGTTGATATCGATGTTTATTCTTTCGCAATAAATCCATGTTTTTTCCGCATGCTGTTTTTTTTTGCTTTTCAAAAGTAATATATATATATATATACATATATATATGTTTTCGAGTCACAATGAAACAAATCGAAATGAATTTTGATCAAAATTATTCTGTTTCCCCTAGAAAACAGAATAGAAACCAAGAGAAAAATTGGATAATTTCGATCGGAATCCAAATAATTTCATAATACGTATCCAAGAGGTTTTTGCGTTTAATAAAATATGAAACAAATTCATATTATACATTGTGGAAATTAGTTATGACAGTATCTAGAAAAAATTTCATTAATTTTTATCGTATCTTTTTGAAGATGTTTAATTTTAAATGTATGGAACTTTATATTACAAATATATGCAAAACCTTATCCCGTAAACATTTTTTTTAAATTTAAGACATTTACATATTGAAAGGCAGAAATTTCAAAAACGTTATAATTACAAAGTAAACACTTAAGTTCATTATGATAAAGTTTTGTCTAAATTGACTGAACGATTTCTGAAAAATTTATATTTTTCAATGGAGAAAAACAAAAATAATTGTCAAATGGACGATGCGTGTGTATACGCGTTACATGCGTATGCTATGGTTACATGACATATAACGTGTTACTTATAAAAATATTAATATTAAACTTAACAATAGCAACTTTTAAATTAATATTATATAATTATGATGTTACATCATCTCCATTATTTACATATTTCGCCATGTACACTATTTTGAAAGCAAGACGTGTATAATAATAATAATAACTTCAATAATATGTAACTTCAAACGTAATGACCAAGTCATCAAACGTGTCACATATTTTTTATTCTATTTAAATTGTTTAGTAACATATAATAAGTAATGAGTATATATATGAGTAATAATGGTATTAGTAAATTTGTATTGTTGATAATATTTTTATACGTTATATTATAATGATTGTTTTACATAATTTTAAGAATTTAAACTCTGTTGACTAGGAAATAGCACCTCCATAAATGTGAAGAATAAGATAAGTTTTGTGTTTGTAAAAATTGCAATCCGTTTCACTTATATCAGCCTGAGAAAATGTCGGTTAGGATGATATTTAGAGAATAGCGGGAGCCGAGGTAGCTTGGCTCGATAGCGGTGTCTCTTTTAAGGGCACGATTATTGGCCTTCTCAATAGCATGAATAGGCCAATATTCAAATGAGCTATGTTTAGTGCACGCGCGGCGATAGAAACGCGGCGATGCAATTATGCGAGGTGTTAATACGATCACAATGGTGGTTTGCCGGGGTACCAATCTACTACACGCTACCAGGACAAAGTTTTGTCCCTGCTAAAACGAGTTCAGAGCAAGAGGGCGGTTCGCGGTCGATTCTCGCTAGAGACATCGCCGAATTGTTATTGACAGGCCTACCAAACGACAATCTGCTGATACATAATTGAGATCAGATCTCCGAAATACAGCACAATGCATACGAAGCCCTAATGCTGCGCAAGGTTAATCTTTTAATGATTGCGTTCGTTTTACATATTTCTGTGTTACCTATGAGCTACGCACCATATACGTGCAATAGGTTTAAAATTAATGTGGCAAAATAGTCGAAATAACAAATATTACCAAATTATATTAGATTATTTTACAAATAATTTTAAAATATATGATATTTTTAGCAGTAAAAGTGAAAAATCAATTCTTTTTAATTTTTAAGATTCTAAAAGTAGATACTAACTCATTCAATAAATAAGATGATTCAAAAACAAGTAAGATGATTAACATAACAAGCTCGCTTATTAAATTATGATTCAAAAACTTTTAATGACTCGAAAACAAATATTAGATTAATGTAAATTTATATAAATTTAGCTTGAAATACGAATTTTATCAAATTTATCGAAAAAAAATTTTGTTGCGGTTTATATTGAATCATTTATGCAAAACACCATATGCAACTTGAGTGCATATTATTTTATTCGTTTATCAGTTTATGATAAACTGCTTAGAAGCGTGTCCTACTTTTGAGTGTCATCATGACAAATTTTAAGTGAGCTTTATAAAGATGATTCTTAAACAACTCTTAAAGATATCTTAAAATTGTCCTATATTAAAGTTTTATACTGTTATTAATATAAATTATACTGGATTAATTGACATTATTTTTGTTGTATACCATAATTGTAATTATACATATTATAAATTTAAATTAGTGAGACAACGTTCATCGAATCTCTAATTACTCTTGAATCAATATTATATTGGGATGGGTCTCAAAATAATTATATATAGAATAAAAAAATAATTAAAATATAGAGTACGATTATAATCAATATGCAACAAAACAGTGTCCATTATCCTTGTTGTTATCTGTATTAGTGTTATCTGTATTAATAACATCATTTATATAGCTTTTAAATATAAAATATCTATCGTTCAAATAATTATATTGAAATAACTATATGTTTTTTCATAAATTTTATGTAATTTTGTAATAAAAATACCGTTATTTAGTAAAAAAAAACTAAGTTTTTACTTGATATCTTTCTCCGAAGTAAAAAATGGTTTCTTACATCTCTGGAAGTAACAGAATTTGAAAATAAAAATCTATATGGGGCATTAAAAATAAAATTATCTTAAGGATCAATCAACAAAATTCGTTGATATATCACCAATTTCAATTTATATATTATCTAATCGTATATCGCAGAATAGAGATTTATCCAAAGATCGCAGTTGTCGAAGTCAAATCCACTTACTAATCGTTTCTTTCTTAAACAAGAGGCCTGGTTGGAGGTTGACGATATCCGAGCAAACATTTAATTCGCGATTACATTATTTTCGAGGGGCGAGGACCAGCCGAATACCCGGCTCCCCTGTCAACGCCAAAGCATCCCCCTTGGCACGCATACGCGTGTCCATCGAATGATTTGGAACATACTCGAACCATTCTCCGACCCTTGGAATAATAGAGATTTCACGCCGCAGGGCCCACTTCGGTTCTCACAGTAGGGGTCTGACCATCGAATGATTTCCTATTGTCCAATAGTGCAATTTATGTTCATGTTTGTGTAAAGACATTTAATTTCCCGAACAGCGAGATCGTGTGCCTTTAAGTATCTGTTTATAGTCCTTGGGGATCAATTTGTTTGCCAAATTATTTATTGGTCAAACGGGCAGACGAGAACGGCGTTACACGCTACCACGAATTTGTTTGATCTGCTTGATTAAGAATGTGGTTTGGGAAAAACAAACATTTTAGACCGCGATCCGTGTATTCTGTATTTTCTTATTTTTATATCTTAAACCGTGACATATTAATCTTTTAAATTATATATTCAGAATTTCGATATATTGCGATGAATTATAAGAAAAAAAATAAATTGTAAAGTATTGATAAGAAAATTAATGTAAAAAGTGTTGAACAATAAAAGCAGAACGTTATTTACATATCTTATACGTTTACAATTTATTTTTTAATATATATATATAGTTTATTTAAAGTATAAATAATATTAACACATTTGCAAAAATAATTTAGATACATCCTTAAGAACATTTAAAAACAAGATCAATTTTTTTAGAACATATTTCTTCTTTAATATGTGTATAAATGACTTATAAAAATGTTTTTCATTTTAATATCCAAAGTTTGTTAAAAAAGTTTGTCGAAGGTGGGAACTTGCATGCCTCTTTATTAATTAAAAGCATTTTTATATTGGAGCATGATATTAAAATAAATGAACAAAATTATTCTTGCTATCAGAGACCAAAATATTGTAATTATTTGTCACTAACAAACCAGATACCCATGCAAATTTATGTCCTTGCGTTTTTTTGTCACCTAACACCCGTAGAAATTTACCTTCTGGAGAGAAAATTTGTACTCTTCCATTTCCAGCGTCACCAACAATGATGTGTCCTTTATCATCAATCTTCAGTACTTCAGGTGATCTATTAGAATTAAAATTTTTTAATAAATTTATGAATTTTCTAATAAATCTCTAGATTGTAATAGTAATATAAATTTCGAAACCATAGAATTGCAACTTTATATTAGTCTCAAATTAAAAACAGTATAAGGGCATAAGATTCAAGCGCGGTAAATAGTACGCGATAATTATTTTCTATAATTGATTTATCGTATTCGGTTATCTATGATACATTTATGATACTTCTTACATGTTTCTGCTCCTTTTCGGATCCTATTCAGAGATTCCGACGACAATGATATACGTTTGCAACTATTAATTCTGCATTGGTGTACAGTTGCGTTACTTGTGTCTGTTTATTTGCTATTATTTCTGAAATCTTACAACGCGGTTAATGGATTGCCTTACAACGCTGTATGATTGTCTCTCTCAATCGATTGATTGACTGAATGAAAATCGAAACGCTGTACATTGAATTGAATATAAATGTAACGAATGATAATTTACTATTGAGATGAATATTACTCACCACAAACGTTGTAGGTGTTGTTGTGCAATATTTCATGTTTATTAATTGTGTTTTAGTCAGTATGTTAATATATATTGTTATTAGATCTTAGTACTTATTCAATTAAAAGTGTATAAATTGAGTATTTATAAGTATTATTTATATGTAAATTAAACTAATGTTGTGTAGTTCACGGTTCTACATGTGACATCTGTCACTGATTAACGATTCAAATCTATGTAGTCTACTAGTTTATTCTACCACATTCCCCCCACATGGGAGGTCTATGGGAAGCGAATGTAAAGACTGTAAAAACTCATCTTGAAACTGATGTGAGTCGGTGTCGTTCGTACACAGTAATAAGTCCTTCTGACGAGATTTTTTATCACTTCACAATTTTCATTAATACTAGCTAATAACTAAAAAGTGACTCACTGTGTCTGATACCGACTGGCCAATATATCAGGAACCGGTTCTTGAATTATTCATGATAATGTTTGCGATATGGTACTTTGTAATCGTGGTGAGCGTCCCTATTTTCGGGATAATTAATTATATTATTAAAGTTTTTTGATAAATGAGTTTCTATATTCTTTAATTCGACATTTTAAATATTTCCCTTATTTTTCATTTTCCTTTTCTTTCTTTTTGTTTAATTCTGGCATTTAAATTCTCGATGTAGGGGAACTCACCATGACAGGATAACTTTTATTTTATATATGTTAGTTTGTGTTTGCTCTGAGGAAGGCTAAAAAATGAGCCGAAACATGTAAGCGCGTTTGTTAAATAAAGAAGTTTTAAGCTTCATAAGTGTATTATTTGGGCAACGTCTTCTGCGCCTGACTCCTAAAGCCCGTATTCTTTCCAATTCTTTTTTTTTTATATTTTTATTCTCGTCCAATAAACAATAAAAAAAATTTCTCGTTTATATTTGATTCGCCCTCGTAATTGTCGCGCATTATTTACCGCGCTTGATCCCTATGCTGTTATATCGTTCTTAATTTGAATTGAAAGAAGTCATTATTATTTACATTATTTTATATTCACCTAAATAAACCCTTTGTTGTTCCGATGCCACCAATTGACTGAAGAATTTGTCCATCATGACTGAATATCTATAAAAAAGGTGGTATTTTATTTACAATATTTATTACTACAACAATAATGACGCATTGCAAGACGAATTTATGATTTTTGTACATATTTAATTTATCAAAATATATAGGGTTGGCCATCGCGATCTCGAAAAGTGCACATCGTACAAAAAACTGTGTCATATTAAAAATATTATGTTTGTATAGGGGTCGTAAGATGGTGCTATCGGTTCCATCGTAGTAGAGATGGAATCGGAGTTTCCTAATCAGAGTTTGGTCATCTAAAGTGTCAGCTATTTTTTATCAAAATTGTGCGAGAGAAAAATCGTGCTCTTTCATTTCATCTCACTCTACAGTGACGCTGTAAGTTGCAGTTCTATAGAGACACTCTATAAGCTTGTTTTTAATGAATATTCTTGCACGTTCAGGCGACTAGTTGGCGATTAAAATTTAAAGAAACGTAAAAATTTTGTTGTGTCTAATCATAAATAGCAAGCCCATGGCCATGCATCATGCATTTAAAGTAAAATGCATAATATATGTTCATTATGCATTTAAATGGAATGGATGAAACATGTCGGACCAATAAACCAGAGAGAAGGTGGACAGACGGTTTCTACATCGTAGATAATGCGTCGTAATCTTTCATTTTTTGGCAACGGAAAACTGGATTCGATTGGGACTTGAACTCAGAATCTCACGTTTCACGAGTGTTTCGCCTAGCGCGTTACACCACAAGAGCATCGCTTCCGCTATATCATCACGTCTCACAGAGTGACCCAAAATAATCGTCAAACATTCATGGGCAGGTAGAGCGGATTAAACCAAGTCGAAAAGTCCTGTACCATTTTGCAAGTTTTCCCAATAGTTAACGCGATATTAATCCTTAAAGATAGCCGAATACACGCGCTCGCCCGGTCTACTTTTGCAAAGTGTACACGCCTACCGATCACTTGGTGCGCGGGCCGTGAGGAACGGGGATAGCCTGGCAAGTGCGCCGTCCGAGTTATGGAAGTTCGCGGCGGTGTGCGCGCCGCAGGGTTCTTGCCAGGCACAGTACTCAGAGCTGCACGTGCAGCACTGGTAGCTGTTTGGAACAAAGACATAGAGAATGGACTATGCGATCTGTGTGTCAAAATGGTCGATAGGGATGAGAGAGACCGTGGCAGACGGCCATTTCTATCTCTTTCCATTCAATGGTGTAATGGGAGAGAGAATGAGAGGGAGATTGGCCGTCTCCCACGGTCCCTCTCTCTCATTACTGTCGACCACATTTGATACACTACTTACAATTAGATACGGATCGCGCAATCTATTCTCTGTCTTTGGTTTGGAACGCTAACGTTTAATTATTTCATTGGAAACATTACTCATTTCAATTATATTCGAATATATATAGTTCAATATAAAGAGTTCAATAGAAAAACGTGTGCAACAAAGGATTAAAAGTGAATATTAATAATGTAATGTAAGGGAACTCAAACGTTTAACAAGTCAGCACGCGTTCACGTTGTCCGTTCAAGCTAAAATTTGGCAGTAATTATTTTTAGTAGATTTGAACAATTCTGAAGGGTACCGCAAAAAGAATTTAAAAAAAACTTTTCTTCAAGTGTAACACGAATCATCCAAATGTATATACCTATTTCTCTAGCACAATCGATACACCTGAGGGTTAGAACATTTGTCAGAAGGACCGTACCAAGTGTACTGTCGAAATAGATATGTACATTAAGGTTGCATTCGGAGAAACACTATTAACGCTATTTGTGTCAGTCTATTTTCATCATCTAGACGTGAGACAAGGATAGTATTATACAAATGGCGCTGATAGGACGTTTCTCGAATGCACCCTAGGATGATCTATGTAAACGCAGACCTTTCTTGTAATATTTGTTCGCATTCTTGTAACATTTGTGCGTTCCGAAACCCATTAAAATAATTAGTGTTGCAACCTTTCTGTGATCAACTATACATACACATTGCACACTTTTAATATTTAATATTACTTTATATATTGTTGCAGTACATATACGTTTAATTTAAATTTCTGTGAAAATCCAAGGATAAGTTTAATTCGACAACAAAAAAGGATGAGAGCTATGGCACAAAAAAAATTTTAAACGTAACTGGAAGTGAATTGGCTAATTACAGTACAGACAGTAAGGCCATAATAAAATCAGTAGCAAATTCAATATTGAATTTCTTACTGCTTATATCTTGTGCTTAAGTTTCTTTGCATGTCATAGCACTAAATGTCCAAACTATGTTAAGGCGACTTTAATGATAATTGCACCTTTATTTTGTGATTACCGGAATCGGCAACGACGACACGCGTTATTGTGACAGCTACATCAGTCGGTTGATTCAATTTGCTTGGGCCAGTTTTACGGAATATGACAGTGTCTCTTGTGTTTTTATTTTTGGGTCCGATGCTATCCAAATACGTGCCATCTTTCTCAAGAATCTGGATACGATTGTTTCCAGTATCAGCGACGTAAAGCACACTACGTTCCGGATGAAATGTGATACCTTCCGGCGAACACAACTCTGACTCTCTGTAACCTTTATTACACATGCGATGAACAAGCTCACCCTTGCGATTGAACACGAAAATGCAGTGCTTCCATTTATCTGTAAAAAAAATACCGAATAATGTAAATACAGATAATTCGATGAAATTCAAATATATTTCAGCAAGAAAAAGTATCAAGATAAAAAAAATGTGTTACCCTATCCAAGCAGAACACAAGTTATGGCATCAAAATAATTTCAAAATGATTATCAAAAATTACAAATTATTTTTTAAATAATGATCCGAATTAATACACTCAAATAAATAAATCTAACAAGAAGGGAGGTGGGGTAGGAGTCGCTACTGGTGAAAATCGTGCGTCACCAAGCAGGGGAGAGGTGGGTTGAGAGTCGTTTTCTGTGGAAGTCGTGCGCTCCTATTGTGTTACTATATGTAATGTTTTCAAAGAAAATTATTTTTATTTTTTGACCTCTCCAACTTATAATCGCTATTTGAGTCACAACAAAGATTAATATCAGCATTGCAGCCGAAAAATGTCGAAATTCGGAAAAGGTCTTATTCTGCATAATTACTAAATGTATGATAACGCTTTCATTCTAGTGTGGTAATGTCTACTAAGGAGGCCTGACTCGAAGCTTTGTGGTCGGCGCAGCGTTTCGTCCTGGTCCCACACTACTATAGACTCATCAGGGGTGGCACCCAGTTGGACACGGCTCAATTGGACACGAGCCACTCACACGCTTGAGACTACAAAGCTCCTAAGCACCGGTCGCTGTGATTGGTGGTGTCCAATCGAGCCGTGGTCAATCGGGATCACCTCACTCATCAGTAAGGCGATGTAGTATGGGACTTGCCTTAGACGCCTGGAATGAATCCAGAATGATATTCTATTTAAAGGGAATTCGCGTGGCGCGTTGCTTACGCGAATCGAGTGAGTCCCGTGGACCTCTAGTGGCAAGTCGCCACACTAGTCTAATAAAATTATAAAAATACATATTTTAAAGATTGTTCAATAATAAATGTATTATTAGTATTTATATACAAAATAAATATAATAAGAAATAAATAATTAACCTAACAGGATTTATTTAACTAAATGTCTATGTATATTTACTAAAATCTACGTACTCCTTTTCTTTTAAAAGGAAAAATTGTAGATCATTTATTAGTACGTATCGGTCATTAATTGAAACTTCTGTTATTTACTAGTGTTTTTTGTGGCTTTTCACTTTTTTAAATAAAACTATCATTTTTGTCTTATTTTTTAAAGATAACGTATGATATTTTTAAAGATTAAACAACCAGTTATTACTTTTGAGTGATGTGTTATCCTTTCTCTTTTATACATACACTATAATTCACTGTTTATATCGTAAACTTATTTGCTCATTGACTATTAGAGAGAGAGAGAGAGAGAGAGAGAGAGAGAGAGAGAG